GAAGAAAGAAACTAATACAGGTTTGGAACAACGTGAAGGTGAGCAGATGATGACAGAATTTTCATTTTTGGGGGACCTATCCCTTTAACTGCACTTGCTCTGCAAGGCCTAAAGCACAGGTCCAATATTTTGTCAAGTTTCCGATAGTGAAAAATAATAACTTACCATCTTTACATCTAATATCTCTTTTCTCTGGTAGTCATGTCACAGATGCTGTTAGTAGACTTGAAGTAGTAGAAAACTTTGTCATCATCTGTTTTCTCTGATTACCCAAACAGCTGGCCTGCTGACCGCTGATCCCAGGATCAAGGAGAGGAAGAAACCAGGGCAGGAAGGAGCACGGAGAAAGTTCACATGGAAAAAGCGCTGAACAGGAAAGGGGCAAGGCAGGACTGGAAACCTGAGAGAGGACACAACTTCTCTCTTTCACTGGATTATTGGGTTTTTCCATGGACAAATATACCCTGCTGATCACATATTTAAATCAGCCCTATTACTTTCTTCAGTTAAAATTGATAAAACGTATCGCTGTTGGACATCTGTGAGCTGAAAGGAAACCTTTCTGTTGCTGACATTTAATTGTTCTTTTCTGTGTGTTATTGTGTACATTAATGTTGGTAATATAAACATATTTCAATAAACCATTTTTTTCATATGTGAATATTCCCAGGTTATTTTTTCAAAAATGAACCCAGCTGCCATGCATGGCATGGTGAGATTACCGGTTGTTAGATTGTAATGCTTCTAATTGCCACAAGAGGGCAGCCAAAATCTGCTTTTGAAATTAATTCACTTTTTACCGGGGTGTTAAAGTAATTCGTCTTGCTGTTTTCAGATTTATTTTGAAAATAAAAAAATACAACAAGGGTTAAGGGCTTCTGCACCATTCTTATTCACCTATCATTTCCCTCTGTTTGTAGGGGTAGATATGGGATTACTAATACATTTTCTGACAGGAATGTTGTTCCAAGATCAACAAAATGTTGATCAGGAACATGTCTGTATTGGCAAAATCGTTTTGAATGGAGGTTAACGGCCAAAATATTTGTACAGTTCGGTTTCACTGTATATAATTATTCACAGAATAGAGCTGTTTAATTTTCTCCATATAAATACCTTGCATATTAATGTAACTATATTGTACTAATGTAGCTATTTGGGCTTTTGTTACATTGAGTAGCTACAGAGTGTTCGATAGACGTTCAGTATTTTCAGAGCTAGTTTTATTGATTTAGTTTTGTAATCAAAAAACACATTACCCATTTAAAATCACTCACCTTTGAGAGAAAATATAGATATGACAGCTAGGCTACTGGTCATTACTGTCTGCCAAAGCTTTAAACGGATAGAACAGAATATTATAAAATATGTCAAATAATAAAAGCCAAATAAAAGAGATTCATCCCATTTCAAATATCTAGGGCACATAGTTAAAAATGGTTTTGTCCTCCATCACGTTACTTGGTATATCTTGGTCAAGATTCTGCATTCTAGAGCAGTTTCCTGGAGGATGAAACATGCTAGTGTGCAAATATCAAGAAACATGAACCATGTTCTCGTCTGTAACCATGACAGCAGTAAGAAGCCAGTGAGTTGGCATGCAAAACTGTCTGCATAATGACCTTTTATTTGACATTTGAAAGTGCGTACTTAAATCGCAAAGTTTGGCTCTCTGACTCGTGTTTTTGGTTGAAAGAAGACAGAAATGTGTGATCATGGATGAAAAGATTTTTGCCCATTCATCCAGTAAAACATTTGTGAGGTCAGGCATCGATGTTGGACAAGGTGGCCTGGGTAGTTTTTACCATTCCAGTTCATCTCAAAGGTTTATATGAGGTTGAGTTCAGGGCTCTGTGCGGGCCAGTCAAGTTCTCCCACACCAAACTCATCCAACCATGTCTCTATGGACCTTGTTTTTACACTGAGGCACAGTCATGCTAAAATAGAAAAGGGCCTTCCCCAAACTTTGGTCATTGTCCAAAATTAGCATTAAGATTTCCCTTCACTGGAAATATGCCAAATGTAAAGTTTGTACATGTATAATGGTATTGGGTTGTTTATCAGGGGTTGGGTTGGGCTGGGCTGGGCTGGGCCCCTACCCCTGACAAACAACTTCATAGCTACCATTATACTATACAAACTTTACAGTTGGTACAATGCAGTCACACAGGTAACGTTCTTCTGGCATCCGCCAAACCCAGACTCACCCATCAAACTGCCAAACAGAGGAACGTGATTCGTCACTCCACAGAAGACAGAACACATTTCCATTTGCTCCAGAGTCCAGTGGTGGCATGCTTTACACCACTCCATCTGACGCTTGGCATTGTACTTGGTTATGTGAGGCTCACATACAGCTGCTCAGCCATGGAAACCCATTCCATGTAGCCCGCCGCAGTTTTTGTGCTGATATTAATGCCAGTGGAAGTTTGGAACTCTTCAGCTATGGAATTAGTGTTGGCGCCTTTACGCACCATGCGCCTCAGCATTTGATGACCCGGCGCTGTGAATTTGACGTGTTCTTCCGCTTCATGGCTGCTTTAGTTACCGCTGTCCCTATACGCTTCCACTTTCCAATAATACCACTTACAGTTGACTGTGTGGAATATATAGCATCATTTCACATACTGACGTAGGCTATTGCAAAGGTGGCATCCTATCACAGTACCATGCTTGAATTCACTTAATTTCAAAACAACCTTTTTCACAAATGTTTGTAAATGCAGACTAGTAGCTAGGAGCTTGATTTTATACACCGGTGACAATGAGTCTGAATGAAACACCTGATTTCAAGAATTAAGGAATATAGTAACTTTAGTTTAGGGTCCAATTCTCACTATTAACTAGTTGTTTATTAGCATGTATGTAAGATATTGGATGTTACTTATAAAGCACATATTAATGCCTTATTCTGAATGACCATTTTCTACATCCCTTAATCCTATGGTAGGATACTAACTTAACATCTACCTTACTAACTATTAATAAGCAGTAATTAGGGGTTTATTGAGGAAACCGTCATATAGTCAATAGTGAGAATTGGACCCTAATCGAACCATATGAATCATACTTGATGAACTTGTGAAATTGATGCATTGATTTTTCCCATTCCTCAGGCTGCAGCATCTGTCAGTCATATGATGCTTCTGCAAAGATGTTGGATTGATAAACACACACAAAAAATGGAACAGGTCCAGCCATTTGGCTCTTCTGTCTTTCTGTTAGTCTCTTTACATGAAGTACATCATCATAAATAGCGTGCTCTATTCATGTAGGCATAATCATTTATTAAAATGGACGTCTTTACATTTTGTACATTCCACCCACACCAGCATTGATTTACAAAGCAACAGACAGTTATTAATACAGTATGTACACACCAGTATCCATGTATATTTATATGTATAAAATACTTAAAGTGGATGTAAAGAGGTGTAGAAGATTTCCATTTAGTTGCTCAAGCTGAAAAGTTTACAGTCTCACTTCAGACAGGAGGAAAAATTTGGTTGCACGTTTGACAAATGGAGCTTTTTCTGGGAGAAACGCATCAGCAAATCAAAGACTAAATAGCACACAGAAACTTTCCTACAATGGCATTTCAAGTGTGGAACTTGAGCTGGATCCACCACTCAAGATTGTGTACAATAGTATTTAAATTATTTAACTGTATGACAAATTAGTTTGGATACAATTTACCATTATCCTTGCAGCCAATAATCACTATAATAAATTGTATATTTTCACTTGCTAAACCGTTTCTGTAAAAAACATCAATGCAAAAAGTCATCCTACCATTCCCTGGTTATGGCCGAGGACATTTTTAGTATTTATTAAGTAGGCAGTGTTTCTTCTATGCTTCCCCCCCCCTTCACTTATTCCACCTTTAAAATCCCACTATTTTCACAGAGAAAATATTTCAGATACTTATTCAAATATGAGCTTACAGATTATTCTCAGGCAAACCCCTCTGCAGCCATTGCTGCTACTGTGCTTTCCCAAAAAACACAAATGTAATTGATCACATTAAAAATATTTTTTGATCTTTAAAATCACAGCTTAGCATTAAGACATGAGGACTCACATCCACATCACCACATGCATATGAGAAACAAATATTTTGGATGTTATAAGCAACTTTAGCATTTAGTTATAGCATGTACACAAACACAGCACAGCCTGAGTCCATTGGTTTGTTTGATATGGCAACCATTTTTTTTTTTTTTTTTTTTTTTACTAAATATCACTTTGTATCTTAAACTTGTCTTTAAAGGGAAATATCAATCCAAATCAACCTTGGGAAAGAGGGGAGAGAGAGACACAATAGTATTTTTCTAGGGTTGTGCTAATAAATTAGACTTTAATTGCATAATTTTACATAACACTGATGTAACTGAAGTTACCCAGATCGGACTGTAGCCATAAGACGAACATGGAAATTCTGGAAAATCTTCCCTTTTTATCACAGAAAATTACTATTAAATGGTTTAAAAGAGCTATGATGACCACAAACCATATTCATGATGACATGAAAATAATTTGTTTTCTTTTTAAGCATTTCTCCCTTATATTAAAAGAATCATGATGCAATCACTTAAGGCTATAACCTGTCACTCTCTGAGAACAGAGCAAGCGACTTTGGTGTTTGTTTAATGAAAACTATGGATCGGCCAAATCGCATAAACCAATTTTTGATAAGTCTGCTCACAGGGAACAGATAGTCAAGACACTAGCATTTTGACCTCAAACAGTTAGCAAATAATAGTTAGTTAACATGGATACCACCCACTTAAAAGCGAAATATTTCAAGACAGCCATTGGACCAGTCATAAGGCAATGCTAAAAAGATCAACCAGTAGAGTCTTTTTTTTGGGGGGGGGGGTTAGTTTGACGTTCATTTAAAAGTTCATATTCATTGTCAGTGTTGTGTGTATGGAATAAATAGTATCTCAAACTCCCAAACAGTCTTATTTGTTGACTGACTCCCTCACACACACACACACACAGGGAAAGCAGGTCCTGCTCTTGCGAGGGCTCTGAACAGTTGCCCTATGCACTTCCTTCTCATGTGTGCGGTACAGGTGTAACGCCAGAATTTGTCGCCTGCCCCACAGATCAGCTTCATGTGTGATTGCTGCGGTGGGCATTTTCATGATGGCGCTTTGGCAAGTCCAGGGCTTTCTTGGCGACACAGTGAATGTGGACCGGCATTCCGCCAGGCAAGCAGGCGCAGTCTGGCTCGCTGAAGGTGTTGTGGCACAGCTGGCATCCCTTCTTTTCAGACACTAATATTGGGCCGCCTCGATACTTCAGCTGTGCAACACAGAATGCAGTTGTTAGTGGGTCAATGACATGCACTGTAGTGGTCAAGTCTGTGTATATATATATATAAACATAATTCATGTTGGTTTCATTTGGTTTTGATAAACAAAATAAACTAAAATAAAACAAATTTACTGTTCAAAAGTTTGGGGTCGGCATTAAATTTACCAAAAGTGACAGGAAAGACATTTACATTGTTACAAAAGATTTCGATTTCAAATAAATGCTGATCTTTTGAACTTTCCATTCATCAAAAAGTCCTGAATTTTTTTTTTTTTTTGCAGCTGTTTTCAAAATTGATAATAGCAAGAAATGTTTCTCAAGCATAAAATCAGCATATTAGAATGATTTCAGAAGGATCATGTGACACTGAAAACTGGAGTCCCCGAACTTTTGAACAGTAGTGTATGGAGTACACAGACCAATCATTTAAAAAAGTTTTACAAATATTTAAATATTTACTTATTTCATACAAATATCATGAATTATTACATTAACACTGCATGACATTTTTTTGCAACCTGAACTAATTTTGCCGTTTGCCTTATTGACCCTGACTTTACCATATGATTTGTATTTTTTTTCAATTTCAAATTCCAAATAGTCGAGTTTCATTCATTTTTTTTCCCTAAGAAATAATAATAAAAGATATCAGACTACTATTTAGGTTCTATTTTAAATAATTTCATTCTTTTTATGTTTTTTCCCCCCTCTGATATCTAGACAGTTGTATCACCCTGACATTTTCTTTACTTTATGCCCAGCAAAAATATCAAAATGAAATTTGACTGACAGACAGGCGAGTGAGGTTACTCTACAGGTAAAAATATAGAAGTGCCCAGCCCACTGTTTTTGCCTTTATTGAAATAGGATAGTATAGAGAACTGATAAGACATGAAGTGGGAGAGAGCGGGGGACAGGATCAAGAAAGCTCCCTAAGCCGGGACTTGAACTCGGGTCACCCCGAACCGTAGCTACATCTCGAAGCACTTCCCACAAGACAGGCTACAACAGGCTCTGACATAAAAACATAATTCATGAAAACTCACCCTGTCATGCTGAAGCTGGAGGTTTTGTGCCCGGGCCAGCCCCACTGCAACCTGGGAAGTGCAGCGTGCATGTACACTAGCCCTCAGCGCCCCACACAGGAAAGGACGGAGTAACGGTAGAGACCACTCCTCTGGAAGGAGCTTTAACACATGCACTGCGTCAAAATCTTCAGCATGTCGGTTAAGCAGGTCGACTGCAGCTATTGTTTGTGCCCCTCCCGGTAAATCCGGGTCCAAGTAAACGCTCAAGAGTTGGTGGAAAAGCTTCTGACGGTAGGACCGGTCCTGAGATGCAGAGGCCCAAGAGCAGTATTCCTCAGCCGCAGGCGAGTCTTTGAGCTGGTGCACTAGAATGTGCAAGGCCTTGTCATGTTCTTCTAACTTTCCATGAAGTGTAGCTTGCTCAAGTAGCAGCAGCTCGGAGTCCTGAATTTTACCTACAGCAAGATCAAACCATACTTTAGCTCTTAACACTAGGCATATACACATATATTGCGATTTCAACTGCGATATGATAAATACTGTTCTGTAATAAAAACCTCACATGGCACCACTTAAAAGACATAAAATCAGAATAGAAAAAACAAAAATCACATTGAAATAGTGTGGGGAAAACTTACAATCAATCCCTTTTGCCCACACTCTACTGCCATATAGTCACTCTATATGGGTGTTCACACTTGTACAATGACCAGTTTGCAAAGTGAACTCATTATATATTGAAATATTTCTATTCACTAATCTTCTTTAAAGGTGCTATATGTATTTTTTAGTGGCCTCTATCGGTGATGTTTCAGATTGCAACCAATTTTTACAAGAGCGCTCGTGCTCTTGCGCGTGCTCGAACACAAGAGCGAGCACTCATGGTACACGGACACAGAGACTTTCAACACACAGGAGAAAGCATCAAACAACATGCTGGAAACTCATGTAAACTCCCACTACAACGTTACTTATAATAATAGGCTACTTTTATCAGCTTGACGTTGAACTAATGCTCCATGCTCGTACCATGATACATTGACAGCATTTAGCCGACATGTGGTGTTATCTAGCATAACAAGGCATTTCACTAACTATTTGTGAAAGATACATTTTTGTTTTGTTTTTATATTTATGTGGAGTTTGTGTTGGAGTCTGTGTTGTGCTGGAGGCAGGTCGTTGTTTGGTGTTATCAGACTCCATGTCGTCAGCTGCAGTGCCGTCGCATAGACTGTATATAAAAAGGAGAGAGGCTCGGTAGCGCGCATGCACGTCACATCCGATGGCTTTCGCAGAAAATCCGACCCGGAGACTTTACATAGAAATAGGAATACAGGCCTTCAGAGGTAATAGCAAAACCCGACAAGTGGATCATTGTAATGTGTGATTACAACCCCTTCACACACATGCAATAAAAAAAGGATTCATTTTAGAAGAAAAGTTACATATAGCACCTTTAATTTCAATTCAATTAATATTGTGTCAGTCCATTTTACATTCACCATTGTTTTTGGAACCCAATCAGCGTGAATTTATTATTATTATTATTATTATTATTATTATCACCATAGCCCTAACTATAAAACATTAAGGGAAGGAAAGAAATTACATTTCTAACGTAATATTTTTGTACTACACAATTTATTATAGCCTATTATAGCCTTATTTAATTTATTTTTGCTTTACAGTACAGTATTACAGTACTAAAATATTTGTCTTAATTGCCTTCACTTTCATGCATTATTTTGCAGTAAAAACAAAGAGTTCCTTTAAGTTTCTGCGTATAATTGACAATGGATGTAATATGTTTCAAATGTTACAAATCTAGTGAAATGCTGTAAACCTCGGTCAATAGTAAAGTTTAAAATTAAACAAATGTAAAAACAAAGTGCTTTCTCAATGCACAGAGTATGTGTTTAGCAGCATTATTGCAAAGCATTTACTGGTAACACAAAACCTGAAAATAAAGAAGTTATTATTCTTATTAATGGTCAAATGCAACAAGACATATCTGCGAAACCAAAGATCACTAGAGTTTTATGCAAAGATCAACACCTAACCGCTCAACTCTCACATCTGCTTTCCTGCCCTTTTCACAAAGGGGCAATTAATTAAACTGCAATCAAAGGATCAAAAGTCTTGTGTATATTGGAGGCACAGGCATCCAGCTACTGGGTACCTACCTAGTAGTAACTGGACTCTGCAGAGATTGGACTCTTTCAGTAACCGTTGTAGTTTCTGGCGGGCAGCAGACAGTTGTTCCTCATTGGCTGATGGTCGTGATATCAAGCCCAGGACTTTGTCTGCATACAGCACAGCCAGATGTGTGTGATACTTCTCTTTCTGCAATAACAGACACAACACACAAAATAACTTTTTCATACTGCGCTTAACCCCAGGATATCTTCGATCTATACACCAAAACAAGATTAGCACTGCGTTGTGGTTTTTACCACACATTGCAGTGCCAAACAAGTACAGCGAAGTTACAATGTTACACTAGTTGCTTAGCAAAAGACAACCAATCATGTGCCACATATTCATGTGCTTTGGACAGTCACGGAAACACGGCGCACTATGTAAACATCAGCATTTGAAAGGAAAAATGTCAAATGATGACAAAAAACACATCAATTGGACTGAATTGGAGTGATTCTTACGTTTATAGTCTGAAAAACCTATTCAGGATAAACTTGATACTTCACTCGGCAATATATACTGTAATTCGAGGATGTACAATGCTAGAGTATTTATGTCAACAAAGGCATTCATCCAATCAGTGACGCCAACACCGCAAATAAAGATGTTAACTGCAGAGTTTAAGAATGTACAGTGTGAAACTTCAGTTTATAAATACCCAGGATTAATTGTTAACCCCGGGTAAATTATGAGCAATGTGAAACGAAGGAAGATTACCCAGGACTCCGTTTACCCAGGGTTTAGAATGACCCAGGGTTAACTAGCATGAAAAGCCCTAAAGAGTTGGGCAACCTTTTAGCATATAGTAGGTACAGCACTTGACTAAAGAATCAATAATGCTTTGGCAGTGGTGCCATTACCTGCAATTTCTTCTCTAGCACCAGGTGTTCCAGGTAGAGCAGAAGAGCCTGACTGTGTTTCTCCAAATACGCAATCACATCATTTGGGTTTAACTGCCCCATCTTCTCCTCTGAGGTAGGCCTTTTGGTGAAGATTTGCACACCAACCTGTAGGTGATCCAAAAGATAGAGAAAGCTAGTCAATTACACCCTCTAGAACAGGGATGGGCAACTTCGGTCCTGGAGGGCCACTGTCCTACAGAGTTTAGCTCCAACCCTGAAAAAAATCACCTGCCTGTAACTTTCTAGTAGTCCTGAAGACCTTGATTAGCTTGTTCAGGTGTGTTTGATTAGGGTTGAAGCTAAACTCTGTAGGACAGTGGCCCTCCAGGACCGAAGTTGCCCATTCCTGCTCTAGAACATTATGTAGAGAACCGATAAAGCTCCCTCTCACCTAAAATAGTTCATTACAATGAGGATGAAGTACACACCTTTTGATCTTTCTGTAGTGCCCAGTCTGCATGCCGCCACACAAGGTCAAGGTTGGAGCAGAAACTAAGAAAATCCACAACATATTCAAACAGATCTGGTCGTGTTGAGTCTTGGAGATCTCCATTGACAATCTTAACCCACATCTACAAGAGGACAGGATAAAAAAGAAAAAAAGAAAGCTCTTATTCATCCATTACCTGAGAGCACATCCAATTGTAAGGTTCTTAAATAGAACTGCATCTTGCTTAACATGAATATTGCAAGTAAAATACACACACACGTTCCTCCGGAACTATTTACTACCGATTTATTACTGCTCCTTTTAACTGGTCATGACACAAACTGAAACACTGTAATTACTGTACATTTAGACAGAGAAGATTGGGAAGCAATTTTATCACACCAGTCTTATGGTGCGTTCAAGTCATCTCGTAAAGATTGTATGCATTTACACACATAAACGCCACCACAATGTCGTAAATATGAACGGGCTTTTCTTTAAGCCCCAAATTTATCAAGTTGGGGGTGTGTCAGTGAGAAACATTGCGTAATAGCACAATATTTAAAGGTATTTAGCAGTGATATTGTCAGGCATTTCTATTTACAGTGAAGTAAGCTAATTGCCTGCACAGAATATGATGGCATTATAATATAACAATGTAGTAAATGATAAAGTGTGCAGTGGCTTCATAACTTAATCAAAAACCTAAGTACACCTGATGCACATTTCTTCATTCTTAATTTTCTAGAACTAGAGTTTAAGAACCTTGCTGTATTTTTGTGTAATTAATTAAGAGAAAGTAAACCGCCATCTTACTCCGGCGAAAGTGACTTGAACGCACCTGCCGTAAACACTTCCCTGGAGGACCTGAACGCACCATTAACTTGGATAGACCGATACATCATCCAGGAAGATTAACTGGCCAATACGTGGCCATTAGAATATCAGTCTCAGCCAAAATCTGCATCAGACTTCCTGACTACAGAAGCATTTACTCTGCACAATGTCAGTTTGAAAATATACAGAAAAAGCCTTATCAAATGGGTAGTGCATTTTCATGTGTCTGTGAATTTAAGTAAATATAGCATGAAAGTGATCATTAAAACTCTGCAAATGTGTTCATTTTATTTGCCACTATTAAGTTGTATTTACATATATACACACACTACCATTCAAAAGTTTTGGGTCAGTAAGATTTAAAAATAAATAAACAAATAAATAATAATGATAATACTTGTATTTAGCAAGTATGAATTATCTATTAAAAGTAATGCTACAAAAGATTTCTATTTCAAATAAATGCCCTTCTTGTAAAAGGGATAGTTCACCCAAAAATGAGTTTGAAATTTACTCACCCTCAAGTTGTTTCAAACCTGTATGAATTTATTTCTTCTGCTGAACACAGAAGATATTTTGAAGAATAGTTGAAGGGCCCCATTGACTTCCATAGTATAAAAAAAATACTTCATACTGGTTTGGAACAACTTAATGATGAGTCAATTATGTCAAAATTGTCATTTTTGGGTGAATAATCCTTGAACTCCCTATTCTTAAAAGAATCATTTATCATGTAGCTGGTTTTCCACCGTTGGGCCAAACTGATCTCGTTGCTTAACGGTTCAATTCCGTGTCGGTCCGGCCCAGCTAGTATGGATATGGTTTCATTTTCCACTGTAGGACTGATAATGGAGCTCTTTGGAATGTTGTCAGTTGTTGCCTTGGTAATGCAAGACTTTACACAAGGTATGAGATGCAAATAGCGACTGCATTATGGAGGAAGATCAGATATTTCTATTATTAACTTGTTTACTTCACTCAAATAGCACGCTTGGCGACTACAGAGAAACTGGTAATCAGGCAACAGACAAGTAACCAATCCTAAGTGGCGATGTCACTACACGCATTCTACTAGCGCAGTTGAGATTTCCGGGCCGAGAACGCTTTGCAATCCATCCGTGCCGAACCGCGCTCAAGTAGAAATATAACCGTAACAGTTCCTTACCTTTCTTGGAACCTTTTAGTACGACGGTGGAAAAGTGGCTATGTTTTTCCGCAAAAATATTTAGCAGCACAACCATTTTCAACATTGATAATAATAGATGTAAGATAAAAGAAATGTTTCTTAAGCACCAAATCAGCATTTTAGAATGCTTTCTGAAGCATCATCAGACACTGAAGACTGGAGTAATGATCTCAAAATATATATATTATTAATATTATTATATGGAGGATGAATCAAAATATTTTTCTGTGGTAATCAACAGAATGCCAAAGGATGTAAGCAGAGCTTAAATTGCAGTTTAATTCAGAAAATGCTTTTAAAATTGGCAGCAAACTTTTCCTAGCTTGTCACCACAATCAGAACGTTCAATTAGAACCCACCTGTAAAGCAGCAGAATCCTGATCATTGTAGTGATATAGAAGTCCAAGAGCATAATACCTGAACAGAGAGAAACACCATTAACAGTCAAATCACACACACATTAAGGAATGCCGCAAGTTATTTAAACTGTCATTTATTTAAGTTTTAAAAATGTAATGTACTGCCATGACTGCTGTGAATAAAATGACAGAGGGCATCGATGATTAATGCATAATAATGGTTTATAAGACAACAACCAAAATACTACAAAACGTGAAGCTTCGCAAAGCATCATCTTTTCCACTCTTAGCTTTCTTCCAAAAATAAACCGTCAAAACTTTATCAACGGCTACTCAAAGAAATACAAAAGCGAGTACCCACTTGTGATGCTTCTCCAGCCAGGGGGCGCTGTCTGCCAGAAGACAGGCATTATCAGAGGCCAGCAAGTCCAGAAGACTCTCGTGGCCGGTCTCTGCGTACAGCTTTAGCAACGCCGTATCTACGTCTTCACGGAAACCATTAGCGCTGTCGCTGCTGCGCACCTCGTGTAGGTAGCTGATGAGAAAACGTTTGAAGCGCTGTACCTTCTCCTGGTCCCCCTGGGTCAGGTGGTTCAGGTCAGCAAATTCATGAAGTGGTGGATGGCAACGTGTGAAAGAAGAAGAAGCGGGCAGGAGCAGCGGATATAGAGAGATCAGCTCCCGTACATCCAGCTGTCCCTTCCTGAGATGGGCATCAGATAAAGCAACATTATTATTATTATTATTACAAGGTTTTTATTTTATTAAAGTTTATTTTGCTGTATTATTATAAAAAATGTTTTTTTAAAAACTATTCCAGCCACATTAAAATAAAATGAACACTACAGTGGAAGTGTTGTTCCTGATAATTAAAACAAAGTATTAAAATTGTTTTTGTTAATTGAAATAAAATAAAAATATTAGATGAAACACTTACAGTAATACAACAATTATAAATGTTGCCATAGAAACTACACAAAATAAAATAAGTTTAAGCTGAAGTACTAATGTTTGGAAGCTTGTTTCCACCATAGAATAAAAAATAATTCAGGTAAGTGCGACTTAATCTCACAATTCTGATTTTTTCTTCGCAATTGAGTTCACAAAAAAAAAGTAAAAAATAGATATCAGAATTGCACGCATTTGTAAGAATTTCAGACTTTTTCCCCTCAGAATTAGACTTCATAACTATTTAATATCTCACAATTCTGAGAAAATAAGTCAAAATTGAGGGATATAAACTCTTAATTGTGAGGAAAAAAAAGGTCAGAATTGCGAGATATAAATTTGTAACTGCGAGAAAGTCAGAATTGCGAAATATAACCTCAATTGCAAGCAATAAAGTCACAATTGCAAGTTTATATCTCACAATTCTGAGAAAATTTGGGGGGGATTTGCAAGATGTAAACTGCAATTATGAGAAAAAAAGCCAGAATTGTGAGAAAAAGTTGCAATTATCTTTTAAAAAAAATGTATTCTGTGGCAGAAACAAGTTTCCATAACAATGACTACAACTAAAAATTAATATAAAAAAGAAACCAATGAAATTCACAAAAGCACATGAAATGACTAAAACTTACATTTAAAAGCTAATTAAAAATGTTAATAAATACTATAAATTATAGCAAACTAACACTGGTGGCAATTGTCCATTTGCTCAATTTTTGAAGATAAGGTTTTAAAGATAAGGCTATGTTTTTACATGGTAAATTATTCCAGATGTACCTTCTCCTTGTCATCTGAAATATTACAGTAGTACTTGCAATCTGTGATTCAAATGGGTTAATAGTTCATGGCATGCCGTATGACAGATGTAGCAACTTAAAATACATGCCGAATCCAACATGGTGAATCCACTGATATTTACGTCAGCCATTTATTCAGCTATTAGACAAGTTTCTGTTCTCCATCCATTAGCATACGGCGATTAGGGTCAGGTGCGCAGAGGGATAAGAAGCAATTAGCAAACAAGTTAATTAACTCCATTCAGTCATCCTCTGAAACATCTGGGCCTGAACAGCAATTAACAGTATTAATTGCATGACAAAATTATGTACTTCACCTAAAATGCTCTTTCGCTTCTAAAAACTGAAGCTGGCCAAATTGGATGAATCCTGCTTGTTGGAGAATTCTTTTGTGCAATATCTACAACATAAAAAGAGAAAACGATCAATTTAAATCCTTTCTCCATTGAGAGAAATACTCCTGTATCTAACCATAGTCAGAACGGCTCGGCGTACCTGATATTTCTCTTTGGGAATGTTTCTCTGTGCGGCCTCGGTGAGGGTCAGGGCTTCCTCGACTCGATGGCTTGCCAACAGGTCTTGGATCTGACGCTCTAGAGGGAGAGGCACCAGCATATACACCGCTTTTGATGAGGCCAACACCACCTTACCTGAGAAATTAGAGGCTTTTTATAAAGTTGACAAAAAGACATTCATTGTGTGTTCTGCTCTTTGAGCACCACATTACTTGAACGCTGTAAATGCTGCTTAAAGGGATAGTTCCCCCAAAAATGAAAATTAGCCCATGATTTACTCACCCTCAAGCCATCCTAGGTGTATATGACATTCTTCTTTCAGACGAATACAATCAGAGTTATATAAAAAAAATGTCCTGGCTCTTCCAAGCTTTATAATGGCATTGAATTGGCCGTTTCAAATTTGAAGTCCATAAAAGTGCTTCTATCCATCATAAAACTGCTCCACGCGACTCTGGGGGGTTAATAAAGGCCTTCTAAAGTGAAGCGATGCGTTCGTGTAAGAAAACTATCCATATTTAAAACTTTAATCGACTAAAATAACTAGCTTCCGGCAGACCGTACGCATCGATTTACGGAGAAAGAGTGGCCCTTGACCTGACGCACGACGTAAATGACGAAAGTGGGAGTGCAGAGGATAGAGCAAAACAAAACACCAGTCACGAATTAAAAGTCTAAAATGTCAATTTTTAAAGAGAAATGTGGGAGGAACTTGAGTTTGTTACCCAGCCCTGTTTGTCTGAACCGCGAGAGGCGTCAAAGCTTACGCTACTCACACATCCTTACGTCATACATCGTCAAGAGTTACTCTTTTGGCGTAAGTCGACTTGCGTAGGCCGTCTTCCGGAAGCTAGTTATTTAGTCGATAAAGTTTTAAATGTGGATATTTTCCTTACACGAACGCATCGCTTCACTTCAGAAGGCCTTTATTAACCCCTCAGAGCCGTGTGGAGCACTTTTATCATGGATGGATGCACTTTATGGACTTCAAAACGGTCATTCACTGGCATTATAAAGCTTGGAAGAGCCAGGACATTTTTAAATATAACTCTGATTGTATTCGTCTGGGAAGAAGAATGCCATATACACGTAGGATGTCTTGAGGTTGAGTAAATCATGGGGTAATTTTCAATTTTGGGTGAACTATCCCTTTTAATTCCACAGAGTTGCAATGCAATGGATAACGTGTTTGCATAAAACACCAATTTCACATCATGATTTCCATTACACGAGAGTAGATGTTAAAACTTCATGCTGATTTGTACTCGGCTTTCGCCAAGATAAGCAAAACTAAGACGTAGCTTTACAGTAAACTATGCTTCTCCATCCATTTACGCTTCTTTCCATAAGGTAGTGTGACTCCCCTTCTGTCCGGCGTTAACGGCAGCAGTGTACTTGGCGCGTTAGCGCACGCGACGGCTGCAACTACAGGACCAGCACGACAACCGTCTGGATTGAACCGAGTAGGGGACATCTCTAGGGTCTTCAAGTGGGCACCTTCCGTCCTCAGTGTTTCGTCGACTAGCCCACGACACCTCAAGAGGGCTCGACAGTGACTCTGGCGTCCCAGAGTCACCCCCCTCCGTCCCCCACTCAACTCAGCCCAGCTTACTGGCCTCTACATCCCTCCCGCTGCTGAGACCTAACCACAATATCACAATCTCTCCGCGACCCAACCATACGCGCCAACCCGTTGACTAAGGCTGTCGAGCCCCACTGGTGCGTTAATATGCAGTTTCAGTGGACAACGGTTCCGTATGGCATACCACCTACCGCAAAACACAATATCTACCCAACCACCCGTCATTCACGCAATATCCACAGGAACGTATACAAACAAACCAACAGACTCTTCAAGTTTTAAAGAACTCTACGAAACCGTAGCGTGGCGGCCTGTACACAGCCAGCCAGAATCTTTCCGTCTCAACCACAGCCAGTTGCTGCTCCTTTCTGCTGCTTCAGATAAGTTCTTTACTGTGCGACGCAACTCTTGGCCACTGAATCCGACGTCTCTGAGGAACCGGGTTGTAGAGTGTGCCACAAAACCTCGACAACCCACTTCCACTGGATAAACCTGGACTCTCCATCCTCGCTGTTCTGCTTCAGTGGCCAGATGAGCATACCGCAGTTTCTTCCTCTCATATGCCTCATCTACCGCATCCTCCCATGGCACTGTTAACTCTATCAGTTGAACAATGCGTGCTGATCCAGACCACAAAACAATATCTGGTCGTAGGTTAGTGGTGGCAATCTCAGGTGGAAAAATAAGCCGTTGGTCAAGATCAGCCAGCATCTTCCAGTCCCTAGCAGCTTCCAGTTGTCCTGGGCGAGAATTGGTGTTAACACCTTTTCTTGGTGGTTGCTCGCCTGGGCGGAGGAATATTGTCTTCTGCGTGTAATGTTTTGCTAGAACAGGTGGCAACTTATTGGTCATGTTACGCTTGCCTTCTAATGCTAAAGCCAAACATCGCAGTACTTGGTCATGGCGCCAAGTAAACCGACCTTGGCTAAGAGCCACCTTACATCCTGTCAAAATGTCTTAATGTGGCAGGTGATGAACACAAAGGACAAGAGGGATCCTCTCCTACCCAGAGGTTTAGGTTCTGCGGGGATGGGAGAACATCATATGTTGACCTAATAAGGAAACTGATCCTACTCTCTTCCATTGACCAAAGGTCTTGCCAGCCCATCTTACGTTGTTCCACACTCTCCCATCTCATCCACTCTCCCTGCTTGGCCTGTGAAATGGCCTTTATACACCTCATCCTCTCCTCCTGCTGTCGCACCTCGTTGACTACCAGCTTCCTCCTTTGAGCTGGGCCTGCCTTGTGCCATTTAGGAGGAGCTAAACTGAGCCCAAAACCCCCTCTTCCATGCTGTACCTGTCCCACGATATCCCTAATTTGAAGGGCAGCCTTTGCCTCTACTACAGATTTCTTTGCTGACCACTTTCTACCAGTTTTTAACACAGGGGCTGCCTCCCTTACACATTTGTCGCGTGACTCTACTAAGGTCATTTCCAGTCTGACCTTGGCACACTTGGTTGCAACTCCTCGGTTAAAGCAGAGACTGGCAGCTGCAATATTCCTTTACTATAAAGTCCTACTCTGCTGAGGCAGCGTGGAACTCCCAACCATTTCCTGATGTATGAACTTACCAACGCTTCCAGCTTATCCACTGTTGTCAAAGAAACCTCGTACACGGTCAGTGGCCACAGCAACCTCGGCAGTAGACCAAACTGAAAGCACCAGAGTTTTAGTTACCAGGTAGAGCACAGCTGTTTATGCTCTTCAACCCTTCCACTGCTTGTCGTCTAACTTCTCCCACCCGAACTGTGTCCTTTAGATCCCCATCGTACCATCTCCCAAGACTCTTCACTGGCTTCTCAGAAACTGTTGGTATTGCCTCACCATTAATGAAGAATGTTTTATCTACTACCTTTCCTTTAACTATCGAGATGCTCCTTGATTTAAATTTCATTCTTGCCCATTCAATATTATCTGTTAACTTCCCCAATAACCGATTAGTGCAGGCTACTGTTGTAGTCATGGTTGTCATGTCATCCATGTATGCTCTGATTGGTGGTAGTCGCATCCCAGAAGCCACGCGCTCTCCTCCTACTACCCATCTTGATGCCCTCATGATTACTTCCATCGCCATGGTAAAAGCCAGTGGAGAAATGGTGCATCCTGCCATTATTCCAACCTCTAGGCATTGCCATGCAGTGCTGAATTTTGGAGTTGAGAAACTGAATTGCAAATCTCCAAAATAGGCTTTCACTAAATTTGTTATTGACATTGGTACTCTGAAAAAATCAAATGCTGCCCAAAGAAGCTCATGTGGCACTGAACCATATGCATTAGCCAAATCCAGGAATGTCACATGGAGCTCCTTCCTCTCCTTTTTAGCTGACTGAATTCGTTGCCAGATAACATTGATGTGTTCTAAGCATCCTGAGAACCCTGGAATACCCGCTTTTTGAACTGAGGTGTCAATGAAGCCATTCTTTAACAGGTAGGTGGACAATCTCTGGGCAATAATGCTGAAGAAAATCTTACCCTCAACGTTTAATAGTGAAATAGGACGAAACTGACTGATGCTTGTAGCATCTTTTTCTTTAGGTATAAAGACTCCACCTGCTCTGCGCCATGCTCTAGGTACAACCTGTTTTTCCCATGCCACTTTTATCAATTTCCACAGAATTCGCAGAACTCCTGAAGCACTCTTGTACACTCTGTACGGAACTCCATTAGGCCCTGGAGATGATGAAGCCCTTGCCTTTCTCACAGCCTGCTCTACCTCTTTCCACTTAGGTGCACAGACCTCCATTTGGTATTCTGGTGGGTTGATAGGTGGTATGTCTGATGGAATTGACATAGGCTCATGCCTTTTTGCATCTGTATGCGTGTCCTCCAAATATCTCTCTAGCTCAATCCTAGATGTTTTTAAAGTGCCATTCTTCTCACTGCTGAATAACTTCTTTACGAATTTGAATGGGTCTTTATAGAAATTAGCCCTCGCACGTTCCTTCTTTTTGTAGCGTTTCCGTAGGCGCTCAGCTCTGCGTAATGTTGCCAGCTTATCTTTTATGGCCCTTTGTAAGAGATTGAGTCCCTCCTTCTGACTTTGTTCTGCTCTTTTCCATTGCTTCCTCAGCTGTCTCCTTTCTCTAACTAACCCTTCAATTTTCTGCTGCCGTCTAGACATTCCAGGAGTAGTTTGTACTTTTTCCTTCCTTTTTTCCACACCAAACCTCTCACTTTCATATGCGTAAATGATGTCCCCAAATTTATCCAGCTTCTTTTCAACTGTACCAGTTAATCTTTCCAATGCAAAGCATAGATCTGTGTTTACCGTGTCCCATGAAGTTTTCTCACAAGCTCTTGGCCATCTAACTCCAGGCCTATGCCCGTTGAGGTTCTTTTCTCTCTTATGCTGGTTAGCCTGACCGGGTTCACAAGTATGAATATGTTCATCACTAACTGTGCAAGCCCTCCTTTCGTCAATGACAGGGGTGCTGATATCCTGCGAGCTGTGGTTTGCTTCCTGTCGCTGGATTTCATTCGACTGACTTGACTGACTTCGTAAGAAGTACTGATCAATGCGAGGCCCTTGTCCCTTCTCCCTCAAGCATT